TTGCCAAGAAAACTCAGGCATGTTGGAATGGTCGTGAGCGAGTTTGCAGAATCTTGATCAAATCGTCAACAAGCACTCGGGAGCAATCTGAACAAAGCGACGTGTACAGCATCCACAACGTAGGCACATGAAGAGTGCTGCACTAAGCCGGCATCCAGGACATGGATCCAGACTGTCCGAGACGAAAATTCATCAACGCTGAATGATCAATCTGCCATTTTGTCAAACGGTACTTGACAGTGAGCAGAACCGGCAGTGTGATACTGGCAACGAGTCCAGGCCCTTACTTGCACAGTGTATGTGTTGCCTGTAAACAGCTTCTTCAGCTCGTCCGCGCTCTGGAATGGACTGGGCAGGTTGTCCATGGTATCTATCTTGTCCTTAGGCACATCTTTCCTCCCAAGTTCCACCTTCATTTTCGGACCACCTGCTGTTGCCACTGCTTCGGCTCCAGCAATCTGAGAATGCAATTCGCAGCATTCGGAGGAATGAGTTGAGTCGACTCTTGGAATCCCGTTGTCGGGTACATTAAACTCGGTATGCTCTCCTCACCCCCACTCAAAAACACTCATTATTTCACCATGAGCACGTACCTCTGCTGCGATGCCGTGGTGCTTCCCTCAAAACACAGTGACGCGCTTTTGTCCATTTATTCAGGTACCCCTACAGTCCATGCGTATTGCTAGCAATATCCGTCAGTGCTACCGAGTGTTTGGGTTTCCCGTCTCAATCTGATCCTCAATAGCGCCAGAGTGTTGTTATGTGCGGGAGGCCTCAAGGTATCCTTGTTGGGATGAGCGCGGGCGAGGTGATCGAGGGTTGCTGCGCTTCCTCCGCCCTCCATCTGCTGCCTGCTTGCCTCTCACAAATATACACCCCAGTGTCCGAAAACACGTCGGCCAAATGTTGCTTTTGGATTGCCAGTCCTTTTCAGAAAGTGGACCTTTCTGAAAAGCTACATTTGCTTCCGCTGCGCAAGATTTCAGGACGGGAGCGTGATTTCCGTCTCATTGGTCACTCGAACTTCGCTTTCAGAAAGAACCACGTTTGCGATGCCAACTGCGATGCAATTTTGATTAAAATTGGCACCATGACTGTGATTCAGGTGGCATAAAAGTGGCATCAATTAGTGTCAAATGGCGTCGCAATTGACGTCGAAAAAATGTCGTTTCCTGCTGGTGCTTGTTACTTGCTGGACATGACGTAACCCTAGCCAAGGGCGACAGCAGCGGCATACAACTAGCCCCATCGTCCACACGACAATTGATTTCCCGATGCTTTATTTCTGTGTCAAACTCCAGGTTGAGTGTGGTCTGTCGCCATTACAAAGTGCAGCCATTCCCAATATGGAAGCTCATTAGATGTTGTGACGCGTCCCTCAACCCAACTGCCATGCATGCGCCTGCACCATTCAAATGGCTGCAATGGCAGGAACGGGCAGCCTGAGTGCACGAATATGTGTCGTAACGTTCATGCACATTTCAAACAGAGGTCGCTCAGCATCTATCCTGTTCCGGTTCGGGGTTGATCGTCAATATGCTGACCAGAAGGAAAAAACAGGTGTTACTACATCAGGCACATTTGAATTGTTCCCAAAACGTTCCATTCGCTGGTCTCAAAAGTGTTCTCGAAAAGAGATTATTTTTTGGTGTTTCCCACCTAACAAAGTGGCATGGACATGCATCCACTAACATTTCTTTTGTGGCATCAGTGTAAGTAATCGCGCATCAAGGTTTCGCCACCACGGCATAGATAATCTGCCACGACGACTACGTCAGAGGTGGCGCCATGGCGTCAGCCTAATCATCAACACTAAGTTCCCATTGTCCAACGCAGCGACACCTTTGAAGTTCAAGAGAATGTTCCGCCACTGCCATACCGACAGCGCTCAACTGTTGCGGACATCACACATGAAACACGCACACGACACTCACCTGAATCAAGTCAGCCATTGTGACGGGGCAGTTCATGTCCTTCAGGTTCGCGTGCAAATCGGTCAGGACGTCGATGCCCACCGCCAGCCCGTTGTTCTGGACCTCCCCAGCCTCGTACTGCAGGCTGCCGTTGGGCCCCGTCTGCAGGCTGCTGTTCTTGGCGTTGAAAGTCCCCGCGTCGTGGAATGCCGCCCTGAGGAACAGTCCGCCCAGCAGGGGGATCTCCGCCCTGCCCCCCTTGCGCAGGACGAACCTCACCGCCTTCGTCGTGGTGTCCATCACCTGCCTCTGCGCATCGGCGTCGCCGTAGATCTCGGGCTGAAGCACGCCCGCGGCCAGCGCCGGCCGGGCCGCGGGGTAGACGCCGGCGCCTAGGGTCGCGGCGATAGCGGCGGCGCCCAGAATCATGGTTCGCCTGCCCATGTCGAACCGCGAATCGCAATCGACTCTGACGTCCCGGGCGTGGGCTATTGCCGTCACACGACGCTTGGCATGAGAGCTCATGCCCCTTCTTGAAGAGGGTCGCCGGAGCAGGCGCGCCGGCATTCGCCCCGCACCGAGGGGTGCATGTCGGACGGTGGCTCGGAAACGCGTGGCGGAGACCATGCTGGTTGCTTGCTGCGCCATGGCAAAACTCGCTCTCCTGCGGCCGTGACAGAGTCGTCAGGACGGGCGCCCAATGTGTCGGCACTGGTGCGACAGCTTTTGTCGGACCTCAGAAAGCTCAAGCCTTGGAAAGGTCACAAGTTCGCACAGCGCGTTATGTGCGGATAGGAAAACACTGCTGACGACGCACACGCAATCCGCGCCTAACAACGCCGTTCCCACACGGTATGTTCCAAGTGTTTCCAGGCTTCTTAGCAAGCTGCGCATCCGTTCAATCTATGCTTGGCCTTGAGGATGCACTCCCTTTTCGTTCCAGAAAAGAGTACACGTCATCGGAATGCGCACCAGGGCTCCAACAGATCCCTGAATATGGCGTCTGACGCACACTGGACGTCACTGGGTGGGCGATTCGCGCCAACGGCAACTCCAATGCGCAGACCAACAAGCGCAGACCTGCAGCACTCCCTGTGAGCGATAACAGGTCCGAGGCCGCCGCATGCACAGACTGTGGGTGGCGTCGGGCGGAAGAGCAACAGCAATTGCCAACACCAGGGCCAGATGCCTTGCCGGGGACTTCCAGGCCGCTGGCGAGATTCTTGCTACGGCGGAAGCCCACGTGATGGCAGGGCGAACTGTGCCCAGCCGTCCTTAAGTCGGCTGCAATTACCCCGGCCGACGAAGCCGGAGCCCTGCTCTGCTATCGTGTACCAGCGAAACCGCGCTCGCATTTGTCTCACACTTTCGTTGGGCCGGCCCAATGCCTTCGCTCCCCATCGACGGTGTTGAACACCCAGCCCGTGGCCCCCGAGCGAACACCAGCTAAGCAAGGCCCTTCAGAAGAGGGCTTTGGAAACTGGGAGAATGTTCTGTGCGCCGCGTCCTCTACATTGGATCGCCACGTCAGTACCCGCACCACTCCCAAAGAGCTCCCCACGAACTGTGCTTGTGGGGACGTTCTTTCGAGCGACAGGCGGCCGAGCCTGACCCATCCACTCACCGCAGGTCTGCGGACAAAAGCAGCTTGCCGCTCGACGACGCCTTTGGCCGCGGGCGACGATTTACGCGCGGCGCAGGCGGAAACCTCAGCAGGACGCGTTCTTGCGCACTTTTGTGTGTTGGATGATTGGTGACGTGTCACATTCTACGCACGGTCCAAGATCCGCGTCCATGAATGCGGGCAACTGATCAGCTGCAAATGGACGTTGCTGCGAAGACGCCAGTGCATTTCTCTTCACGCGCTGAGATGGGGCCCCAAGGATCCTGCGGGCTCAGCATCCGCCAAGGCCTGCAGAAGCGCAGCCCCCTGCGCAGAGGGCATTGCTCGACGGCGCAGCTTGCTCAAGATGCAGCACATCCGCCGGCAATGTGGCTTCTAAATTTCGAACAAATCCAAATATACAAGGGGGCGTCGCAACAAGCCTCACGGGCTTGTGGCAAGTGCTGGAAAGCAATGATTGCATGCCGCAGAGGGCGGACCTTCCCTTCGAGAGCGGCCCCTCTCCCCAATGGGCGGATGAGAGCATCGCTGGGGGAAGGAAGAAGTCGCGCTGAAGCGCTGCGGCATTAAACAGCAGGGAGTGCAGTGGCCATCTCCACTCGGGGGCGCTGTAATGGTGAGCATACTCGGCCTATAGCGTTGCGCCACTGTGTAATGAGAGTTGATGTTTCTGTCACATAGTTACTGTTTCCTTTGGTAAAATGGCAAGTTCGATGTACTACAGCAGTAAACGCCTTTTCAGAAATAGTCAACCACAGTGCAGGACCTGGACCAAACGTTCCAATAGTCAAGGGTGCTACCTTTTTTCATGCCTGCTTGCGATGCCGGTCAAAGTACTGCACGGGAAAGCAGTGCTCGCTTTCACGCAATGCCCTCCCCGTACCTTGTAAGATTGACTGGCAACTATCAGTACTAACGAACACTGCCGATCTTTTGAAGTCAAACGACTAGGTGATGCGAGATGGCCATACCTCTCCAAGCTGCACGAGCAACTGGCTGTTGTGAGCCCCAACTGCTGCGATCACCACACGAGGAGCGATTCGAACACAGCCACATGATTTGCAACTCCTGATAAGACACGGCACACTGCACAACTGGCAGCAGCAAAGCTTTGAGCTCAAGCTGGAACGTTTCAATTCAACGAATACGAAGAATCAGCACAACACCCACAACTCATGCATTACAAAATCATGTCTGGGAGAACAGCGCCATGCAAATTGGAGACAATCTGAGAAACGACGCCTTGGCAAGGTGCAAACCCCAACACAGAAAATCCACGAATTGTGCTAGGAGCAGGGGATGTGGAGAGAACGATGCGAATGCCAAAGCGTCATGCCAATAGCCGCAAGCATCCCAGTATAGTCGCAATCACATCTCAGCAATTGCAGAAGAGCTATCAATGTTGCAGCAAGGGACATGTGTACAAGTCGGCATTTGTTTGGCTGCAGGCATTGCGGTGTCCATCAGGCCCTAATGAGCTTTGCATCGAAACGACAGAAGTTGCCACCAGAGGGAAGTTCTGGTGCCACCGTGTTCTTGGCATTGATTCCCTTCATCCCCATCTTTAGGTAGGCATCCTCAAAAGCCTTGAAAAAGGCGCTCTTGTCACTGGCGAATGTTTCGACAATTGCCTTTGTGGTGGGATTTGACACGAGTGCCCTGTCAGATGGGAATGCCCCTTCTCCATTCAGCAGCTCCTTGTAGTAAACATTGTCAAAGGTTTTGGGGGTCCCTTCCAGCTCTGGGGGAGTTTTGGGGAAGAAGCGTGCCTTTCCAATGGTGTGGGCGCCGCTAAGAGCCACCAGATCCTGGAGTGGACACAACAAGAAATGATCGTCAAGTTCCTCGCCATGAGTAGAGGATCAGTTCAATTGGCATCGAACTGTATGCAATCACTCATATCTCCGGAACATAATGCAATTTGGCATTTGGCATTCAGCAATTTGACATAGTGCTTACAGGGAAGTGCAACAGGAAGTTGCAGGAACTTACAGGAAGTTCTCAACAAAATCTGCAATTCTGACGTTCCCTGAATGCGATGTGTAGTTTCGACTGAAGGAGCTTGACAGTGGCAAAACAAGACAGCATGTGGCTCTGTGTGGCTGTATGTCACATGCGCAAGGGTGCATGCGACAACAATACTTCATCGAGCCACTGCTTGCTGGGGCAGCAAAAGGAACGCCAAAACATAGGTCATGGAAGGCACAGTGATCAATGTTGACAATTCCTGGGGATGAGTGGGTCGCCTTGCCTGTGTGGTGTATGTGTTGCCCTCGAAGAGGTCTATCAGCTCCTTAGCAGTGTTGCCGGGGCTTGGCAACTGGGTCATGACGTCATTGGAGCCTTCAGTGACGTCCATCCTGCCAATGGGGACCTTGATCTTGGGACCACCCGCAATGGCGACAGATTCTGCCCCAGCAATCTAATGACACAGTAGACAATGCAGTGTGAACTGAATGTGACAACTCACGAGTGGTTAGCTGCAAAGCGCGTGGCGTCTTATGTACCAGCATGGTGCAAACAGTGTGGCATCTTATATATCGGCAAGCTGCAAAAAGAGCGTGGTGTCACATATGCCAGGATGTGTTTATTCATCAATGCAGGGCAGTATGCTGCAGCAAACAGTAAACACACGATCGCTCAGGACCTCTGTAATCTTGTCTCCACTTCGGGCAATTTTCAGTGCTTTCTGCTGACTGGAGGCAACTGTGCAGAATTGGTCCCAGGGAACATATATGGAGTCAATCATGGTGCCTGTCATTGACTCCAACGTTCGGAGGCAAGTGGTCCTTCACATGTCTGCACATGCAAACCTGCCAAAAAAATTGCAGATATGCAGATCAAAATGCAGATATGTACAAAGATGCAAGACATCCCGAACCGCAAAACCAGGTGCCCCGCGGTTGGCTCAGCCAACCTGAATCAGGTCGGCCATCGTGACAGGGCAGTTCATCTTCTTCAAATCCTGGTGCAGGTCGACGAGGACGTCGATGCCGGGCTTCAGCCCCGCATTCTGCGGCTGCTTCTCCTCGTACTGCAGGCTGCCATTGGCGCCCGTCTGTATGCTGCCGTCCTTGGCGTTGAAGGTCCCCGCGTCGTGGAACGCCGCCCTCAGCAGGGCGCCCGCCAGCAGGGGCACCTCGGACCGGCCCCTCCTGGGCAGCACGTATCGCACAGCCTTGGTCGTCGTGTCGAAGACCGCCTGCTGCGCATCCTCATCACCATAGATCTCGGGCTGAAGCACGCCTGCGGCAAACGCGGGAGGCGCCGCGGGACTGACGCCGGCGCCGAGCGCCGCGGCTAGTGTCGCGGCTCCCAACATGAGGCTCCGCCTGCCGAGATCGACGCCCGAATGCTCCTGGGGCGTGACGTCCTGGCCATTGTCGATGATTGTTTCCGTCACGCGGTGTGCGGCCTGGGTGGCGGATCGCAGGGAGGGCCGGGGGAGCCTGGCCGCCGGGCGGAGGGGGGCGCCCTGGAGGCGCGCGGCGGAAGCCGTGCCGCCAACTGGGAGCGACATTTTCCCTTTTCAAAGTCCTGCGGGAAGGGGAAAGTCGTCACAAAGGTTGCGATGTAACCCTTTGTTGGGACATTCGCTTGCATGAGAATGCCGAATGCCAGGGAACCTCAGCAACGGCAAACTGACCCAGATTCCGGTTGGTGTGTTCTGGACGAGGCACAAAAGTAATATGTGCTTCGCGCGCAGCGCGTCCACTGGAACAGAACAACGGCCCATCGAGCTGAAAGGTCTGAATGCTGCAAATGGCTGCAATGAGAGCCAGGATGTTGCCCTATCCTGTGCGAAACTCCAAATGTTTCATGATGCAAGGGCAGTGCCAATGCACAGGCTGGACAGGACAGAGGGATCCATCTCATTGCTGACGTGGACACCAAAGATCGTGGATTGCCGATCCGATCCTTGAGCGCAGCCACACCGCGGCTGGCGTTGCGACAGCGGCGCCAGCCTCGCGAACAAGGTGCCACGTTCCTAGACACTCGTTAGGCGCGTTCGGAGGGGGAGCTGGCTTCGCTGGCCCCCTGTCCTGGCATGAATGCGCAACATGCCCAACATTGGCCCAGGATCAACATCGGGGGTCCCTTCAGGACTGCATCTATGCCTGGGCAGTGGGCTTTGCGGGCAACATCGCGCCTAGACTCGCCATTCGAGTCTCCGATAGAGAAGATCAACACCCTTTTTAAAAGGCGCCGACCTTCCCTTCTGCGTTGGGACGCATGTCGACATTTGATAGCCCCATGTCGAGGCGCACGTGTCCACCGGCGTGGTGGTCGTTACGGGGTCTACCTGCGCGTGTCCGCACCCGTCGGCTGCTTCTCGGGCTATTCCGCGCCGCCGCAGCCTCTCTGCAGCGTTGTTTTCACAGCACGACGTCGCTGGCGTTCGTGTGCGGCAGCCTGCACGTGGCCTTGGCGAACTCCAGTGGATATCGATGTGGCAAGCCGATGAATGCACCAACACTGGAATACACCAAATGCTTAGGACGTTTCCACCTAAATTTTCCAGATACTTCCGTGCGCACATGGCGCCCAGGAGGCTGGGAAGGATGCGGGTGACCTTGGAACGAACGGCAGCCCGTGGTGCCCTTTCGCTGACTTCCCGGAGCGTTGTATCCCCTGCTTACATTTTGAACCACCGCAGCCTCGCCCTCTATTCCATTTAAATCTGCCTTGCGCTGCTCGCGCATTGCCACACTTCGGCAAAAGAAACAAGCGGATCGTCTTTCTCTCCATGCTATCTGCGAGGGCGCACCCAGCGCTTTCCTGTGTGGTGGCAAGGCACGTGTTTCTCTTAGTGTCACAGTCGTGAGACCCAATGCAAGCCCCACGGCTGGTACCTGCAACTTACCAATGTCGCCACATCGTGCCGGGGTCCCCCTTTTCCACGTGACGACAGCCATTTTTTAAAGCATGCGAACAAGGCAACAGCCCCAATTGTCCAGCACAATGCTCTTGGGCACTCCCCATAAGGTCAGGAGTCATACTAGTTAGTGGTGAATCTATTGCCCCACGGAAGCGGGGCATGGTGTGCGAGGGATGCAGAGTACAGTGCTTGAGTCCAGCGTCATCTGGCACCACAACCTCAGTTTCGGTACGCGTTGGTCGCTCCAAAATGGCCAGGATCACTTCTCATCTTAATTCTCTTCGCAGCAGCGCTACTTTGCCATCAGCTGTACATATGGGCTCCTCAAAGGCAGTGGCTGGATCAATCATAGCATTTAATCTTCAACGATGACAGGGTTGCGCCCAAGAGGAAATCTCTTCAAACAGGGCTTTTCAGCCACAGTGCAGCACTCTGGGACATTTAACTTCGTTCCCACAGCTTGCAGGCATCAAATCCAGCGGCGATCGCCCACGTTGAAACACCAAAAAGTCGCCCCTCTTCCCACGGCGCACTGGATGATGCATTCCAGAACGGACTCAACCTCAAGCATGACACGAGGCTACCTTCTCTGTCGTAGCCGCAGCCCCGTTCCGACCATCGTCAGCACATTTCGTCGCCTCCCACGACGATCCCCGATTCGTGCGTCTGTGGCCCTGCAGACACGCAACACCCATTCATATTCATTCATTGACATTGACGCTGATGCGGTCCTCCGCTCTCGCGCTGTGGAACGACGGAAGGCACTCCTGCGCCGCCAACGGTTCCAACAGGCGTTGACGCAGATTTTGCAAGGGGGCGCAGCGCGTGGCTCGCATGTATGGGGCGTCACCGCCAGTGTGGGGGGCACGGGGCAGGGCGTGCGGGGCGTCCCCTCGTTTGAGGGAAAGTGTGACTCAGCAGTGCTCGTCCAGCACTCATCACTCACACACACGGTGTGTCGTCCACATGCAGCGCTTCGTACCTGTTTTGCCGAGAACGGCAACAGCGAGGTTGAATTGGCGGCAGAGCAACAAGCACCGTGTGCATAGCGTTTTCTGCAGTGGTGCTTGCTGATTTTCTTCTGTTTCCGATTTGCTGACTAAAAGACGGAACATGGGGAAGATTTGGATGTGGCTGAATGAGCTGCAGTGAAACGTTGGTGCAGATTTTGTATTTTGCTGCGTTGTACATTGGATTCCAATGAACCAACCAGGAGCACTGTTTTGCTCCAGTAAAATGGGAAGCTACCAGCTACCTCCTTGCCTTGGTGTGCAAAATTTCATGAATGAATGGCCGCAGATTGTCATTCTTCAGCTAATTCGAGCCAATCTCGATAGTTGCGGTCGTTGGCAGTTAAAACACGCACCGTTGGCGAATGTTCAATGGGGTTTGACAATTGAGAGCTCCGGGGGTACACCCCGTAGCAGGCAGTTGAGGAGGGGTCAAAGCGTCGATCCGGCGTTTTTTAACCGAGAGGGGCGCAAAGCCTCGGCACGAACAGGTCAAAGTTTTTTTTGTCCGTTCGCGCGAGCAGTGCAAGTTGAGAGTCCTTGCCATCGCGCCCAGGGCTCCTGGCTGGTCGACATGGTTCAGGTGGACTTCACTGTCGGAAAGTTTCCGTGGGCAGGTACCGTCCTTTGTTTCGCGTTCCTCGGAGATCCGCGCAGATCTCATCGCCCCAAAAGCAAGCTCCGTCCGCTGATCACGAAAAAATCCGTGCTGCGTGGTGCCCGACTGCCCGGTGTCCGTTGTTTCGCCTCTGCTGGGGTGCGGCGTCTGGAACGACAGCAATCCCGTCGCTTTCCTGGCCTCGATCAAAGCCTACGCCTGCTGGCCGCTGCAGACGTTTTGCTTTCCTTGGGGCAAAGTTGCTGGAGAAATCCAAAGGCAGACGGCGCGTGCTTCAGCCTTCGGATCTTGTCCCACGTCAAGGTCGTATCGAATCGGCGCGTTGCCTTTGGACTTGTGCGCATTTCTGCGGCCATTCTTAGTGTCGCTGACGAGGAGATCCTCGAGTTGCAACGGGCGTTGGTCTGTACGAGGGCGGGGATGTTCGACAGACTTCGTGGTGTCCTTCATGCTGACCTGAGATTTCCTGCGGTCCGCCTGCCGTGACAGAAAGTGATGTCAAGTGCCTGGTTCGTCAGAGCACCAAACAAAAAAATGCTGGGAAGAGGCACATCGGGCCCCCCACTTCAGCTCACTGTCAACCCCAAGACCAACGATCTAAGAAAATAGCAGCAGCCCAAACATGGGAACGGCAATAAAATGTGTCCTGCCCATGGTGGCTCAAGTGCAGTACATCCTGAGGAATCTGTGCTTGCAGGCAGTGCCAAGGATGACTGTGGGTTGCCCCTGGGCCTCACTCTGCAACCTTTTGCAAAGGTGCCCAGCTTGCAGCGGGGAAGGGATAGCCTTCAGAAGGCGGCATCCATTCCCAGATGCTCGGATTGCTACTCGTGAGTTAGACCAGTTCATACTATATCATCCAGTCCTATTTTGCAGATAAATGTCTTGGTCACAGCAGCTCCCCTGTACCAACATAAGGGCTATGAACAGAGAAGATAGGCCGTTGGCGTGTGAATCGGTTTTGTCACATTTGAATGCACACCAGACGTGCAGTCTCTGCTGTCACGTCACTATACAAAGACCTATAACACCGGATTCAACCCCAAAGGCAAAAGTCTGAGCCTTGGTAGTCAAGGTGACATTTTGTGTCGTGGATGGGATGTGTTCATGAATGGGCATTGTGCTATACAACTTGGGACAAGGGATGCATATCTGTGCACTCACCGAACTTGGTGAATCTTGTCTTGATTGTAGTTTCCTCTGAACTCAAGGATTCTCCTTGTGCCTATAAGAAGATGACGAGTCCTGTTCTTTTTTGCCACAGCTTCTTTGCTGTGTTCTGTGACTTGCCGACAGCTGAACATCTGGCAGGACACACAGTTCGCCACAACACAGCAAAAAACTCAATCTCAGTGTGGAAGTGAAGGCAAGAAAGCACTCCTTGGGGCCTCAGCTTGCTGACATGCAGTCCTCATTGCCACCACAGGTACCTGAACTGCTACTGTCCGCTCGATCAGTGGGGCTGGACATGTGCCATATGTGGGATTTATAATGCCCACTCTGAAACAGCCAAACGAAGGTGCGTTAACGTTTGGGTCTGGTGGAGTGTTGTTGCACACCATATAAGCCCTGACAAGTGCCCAGGGCCTAGAGCAAGAGAGGAGGCAGGGCCATTTCTGATCTTGTTGATATGCACTGCGACAGTTTGTTTGGGATGTATAAGCTTTGCTAGCATTCATGTGCCTCTGTATACTGCGTACTGTACCAGATTCTGCTTTGTTATGCCACTGTTTCTGCAGCTCACTGTCATTGTCAATATGGCTGTCAGATATGCAAATATTACCCAAGACAGGCTTCCAGAAGAACTGAAACTCAATTTGCTTGAAGTGGAATGTGATGCACCTGTGGCGGATGATGAAGATGAGGCCCCATGGTCACCACAGGTACACCAAGGAAATGGAATGCAATTAATCCTTCACCTGCATCGTCCTCCCTTGCTTCCTTCTTCCCAGTTCCCTTATGATGCTGCCATTCCCCATTGTGATGCTACTGTGCTACTGCTTGGTAGCTGTGTTAGTTGTCACTCATTTTGGTACAGTTCGATATGCAGGTCCTTGCTGAACGTTCGTTCATTGCTCTTGCGAATTCTGGCATAGAGAGTGTAGTCGCTCTGTTTTGTTGTGCAGCACTGTTGGCATTTTATGTTTTGAGTATATTGTTTTCTGTTCATCGTGTGTTTCAGCTTGCAAGCATGCACCTTATCAATGGTCCAATTACTAGGAGTCGTTTCGTCTATATCCTCTAAGTTGATTGTTCCAAGCTGTCACCCACAGTTATGCCGCTTTCCAAGTGAGGGATGTGCAGTGTATGCCTGCATCCTTCTCTTTGTAATCGTCATTGCGGCATGGTTGTGGACCACAATGGCTCCTTAGCCTCCATCACTGACATTTTCCTCCCTGCACGCAAGGCAAACCTGCCCTCAGAGAGCTGCCCCATCTACATCATGCTTGTGGACACTTGTTCTTCTGACGACTTCTTGGAAGAAATCAAAAATGCCCTGGCCACTGCACTAGAAGCTCTCCCACCCTATGCACTTTTTGGCCTTCTGAGCTTTGATGACAGGGTGAGTGAACCATTTCATGGGTGTTCTGTATAGCTACCAGCAGCTAGTCATAATTTGCCTGGTTGTGTCTGTGATGCAACAATCTCCCATTCAGGAATGCTTTGGATCGGTTTGGAATATCTGAGTTCCTGCTAAGGCCTATTCCGGTTGTTGGAGACGAGGAGGGGGCACAGCTGCTGGCTCCAGTTGCCAAGAGATGATGATTGCAGAGCCGTGTTGGAGAGAAGCATGGAAGTGCACATCTGCTTTGTTTCCGAACATCGATTCCACTAGATAGAACTAGTTGCAGCACTCTCTTGTGCACAAAAGTTGGTCTTCCAGCCATCAGAACTTACGAGCAAGACGGCTGAGCTTTCACTCGTTGCCAAATTACTTTTGTTTTCTTCTTTTCTATGTTGTTGTTGTCATATTTCAATCCTGCTTTTCTGCACGTGACAAGTTTAAGTTTTATTTCAACTTGAATTTGTGTAGTCTGTGGCACGATGCTATGCAGGTGAGCCTGTATGATGTGAAAGGTGCCGTTCCGTCACAAAAGAAGATAGCTGTCCTGGACTCTGGCCCCTTGCTTTGTCCTCTTGGCGATATCATTCCCCTCCAGCGTCTTCTTGCCCCAGTTGGTGACTGCAAGGAGTGTATCCTCAAGGCGTTTGAAGGTTTGCGAGCAAATGCACCTGGCAAGGTTCGGTGAGTCCCTGCTATCTGCAGCTGTCTTAACCTCTTGGCAATATGAAATAGTACTTTCTTTGTTTTGCATTCCCCATGACTGCAGTATGGTTGGTATGCGTGCTGTGCAGTGTCATATGTATTCACCTAGTATTAGGAGAGCTCTGTATTACCTTTTACAATGTGGATAGAGCATCAGCAATTTGCCTGCAGGAGGAAGCAAACCATTCCATGACATGTTTCTTTCATTACTATTAGGCCTTGACCTGTGTCTACATGTGCTGATTATCTGCTGCATTATAGGTGTCCCAATGGCCTGGACGTACCTCTCTCCTTCATAGCCAGTACACGAGCTCCTCAGCATGGTGTGCATGTTTGTTTTTGGCTTGTGTCCTTTTGGTGCTGCCCTCACCACCTGGTGTAGATGAAATCTTAGTCAGCACAGTGTTCTCTACATAGGACAACAACACGGATCCATCTATCACTCCAAGGCGGCCTATCGTGGGCTCACCTTATGAATGCCGAGGCCAGAGCTTTGGCCCAACGATCCAAGCCGTGCTGCAGTATCTGGTGAGTTTGGGTCGAAACGTGCAACAGGCAGTCACCCCCTGCTCATGCCTTCGCAAAGCATGCCAGCTCGTTTCCATGTGAATAGGCAAAACAGAACACTCCAAGACAAAAGTCCACAGACGAATCAGTGTAGACATGCAGGAAATATGCGACACCGATGCCAGCAAGTGTCTCAGTGCGTTGCGTCGTTGGCATGGAAGTTGCATCAATGTGTTGCTGACCAGAAAAGTCAGCAGAAACTCAGCGGCACGTGGCACCACATTCACGTGTAGTGAGTTTGCTTGTGTTTTTGTCAGCAAGGTTTGGATGGCCCCAAGGCTGATGACCCAAGCCTCCACCTGGCAGCAAAGAGCAAGAGGCCTGTGAGGGTGATCAGCTTCCTGGGCGGGCCTCCCAGTCTCGGGCAAGGCAGCCTGATGGATTACTTGGCAAAGACCAAAATGCTCCGAAGCACAAGACCGGAGCGAAACAAACCCACATCGCCAACAAGTGCAGAAATGGAAATGGGGTTTGCGGTGGGCGTGGACGATGTTGCAGAGACAGCTCAAGAGCCGGTGTGTGGAGGGGGCATGTCTCACGTACTGAAGTTTGTGAAAGTTCGCAAGTGATGCCCGCTCAATGAGCCCTATTAACTTGCAAACTGTGCAAGTGAATGTGTGTCAGGACAATGTATTGGTGCCATTCTGTTCACGTTCATCTGCTTCTACTTCTGTGTTCCAAGGTTGTGGTATTCCTCGTTTGAGCAGTATGAATATATGTTGTTGAATTTAGAACACATAAGTGGAGCTGCTGCAGTCCGATCGAATTCAATGCTGCACAAACAGCAAATCTTCTTGAGGGAGGAGAAGAGATAGTTCTTCCTTGTGACAATGATCTGCAACCGATTCAATCACGAAACACCACTGACATTATGCTATTTGTATTTGTGTTGTTCTTGTTGTGTGCATGTTGTGTTGCTTCTTTCACTAGGGATATGCTGCAACCAGATATGCCATGCGAATCTGCCTGCGCAGTTCGCTTGTTACCTGTCTCATTGAAGGAAGGATCAGCGAAGTTTTGTGTCCTGTTGTCGAAGATTTCTGACTTGAAAGGAAAACAGCTGACACAATCGTCATGCACCTCACTGAGCAATGCATTTCAGACTCTGGCTATAAGGCAGAGGTGATGGGAAACATCTGGGTGCTGCAAGGGAAGCACAACACAAATTGCAGAGTGCCAGGGCGGCAGTCCCGTACATGAAGTCCTATTGCATCTGATGTGTCAAGTTCACCATTTCAGTGTCAATGTGGTCACCATACTTGACAAACAGGTGACAGAGAAGGGTGAACTGTGCAAGGTGTCACTATGGCATACTTTTGAAGCATTTTGTTTTCCACTGGATGGTTCGACAATCTTGTTGGTCTGCTATTCACAGGGCATGAAGAAAGCTACTTCCTTGGCTTCTGCATTCTACGAGGAGGCATCCCTGGTGGCGACGTCCCTGGGTGTCAGTATCGACGTGTTTGTGATCTCCAAAGCACCTGTTGGGCTCGATGTGTTGTCAACAATTGCCAACAACACAGGTGGAGGTGTGTGGTTGTACCCAAGTGTGCAGGATGCGATGCTGACTCAGGTTCGTGTGGCAGCACAAACAAGCAGTGAAATGCAGACATCTGTTGAGAAATGGTGCCACTTTGCTCAAAGCTATCTGCCTGTTTGCCCTCAACCCTGAGCAAAAACACTGTGACAGCAAAATCGTCACAAACTGAATAGTGCAGCCAGCATCAAGGTGTAGGGAAATGCCTGGCAATGTCTGCAAGGACAGTGTTTTGTAACAGTCTTCCAAGCCGTGGTCCAGGGAGTCTCCCCAACTGCAAGAACTCGTTGCTGATTATCCCACTGATATGCCTGCTGTTTCTGATTCTTGGCGTTTGCTTGCTGCTACTCAAGATTATTCCCTGTCTGTGGCTGAGGAATTGTTCTGATCAAACCCCAGATGTGCAGCTGTGATTGGCACTGCTGTGTCAAGCATACTGGTGTGATAGGCTTCATTGTGGTGGATGTCGATCCAGCACGCGATGTTTAAATTGTTTGATATTGCAACCATTCAGGCAATGGTGATGCAGTCAGACACTACTGCTTGCACGGACATTGGTAGCTATTCAACAAGCAGAGTGTGAAAAGGAACATAAGGGGAACGCATTGCCATTGATCTTGCATAGGCCTCGCAACTAAGCAAGGTTGTCCAATTGGCATGCGTGAGCACGTTGTTAGGCGACAACACAAAGACAAAGTTCGTTGTTCACATATAAGTGCTTAGTGTCCCAGAATGCACTACATAACTTGCCATTGCAAGGCCGGTTCCACTGCAGCTATTGTTGACAGTAATCCGTTCATGCTGAGCAGAGTTCTGTTCTGCTACTGTGCTGCCTGTGCAGTTGAAGCTCATGTCAGTGGCGAATTGACCATGAAGGGAATGTGGGCCCTTTTGCCGTGTTAGGCGCTGTCTGAAGAACTGTTGGCTTGGGTTGAGTATTTGTGGTCTGACCTCCAGGACCTATATCGCCACCTGTCCTCCCCCCATGCGCAGAACTGCCTTCTCAAAGTGAGAACTTCCCCTGAGTTTCGGGTTGCCAGGCTCTACGGCCGCGTCTTCAAGGACCCCATGTACGATGACGTGTACCATATGATGAGCTGCGACGCCTTTGATGTGGTGACCGTGGATTTCGAGTTCGTTCATAAAGAGGGCTTTGGCAACCCGCCAGCGGCAGTGCCCACAGTGCAGGTCCGAATTTAATTCTTTTCTGCTGTGGCCCTGAGTCAACAAAACCTTGCCCAATTCGTCGTCAAGGCGGCGCTGCCTCCTTGCATTGGCTCAATATATTCTGTTGCGGTGCTGCTGCTCAGGTAGCCTTTCAATATACAACTGTGACAGCCGATGGCCAGGAGCCCAAACTGCAGAGGAGAATGAGGATCTGTACCATACAGGTGGGCTCCCTTTGGCTGGATGGGAATCTGCTCTGACTCCTGAATGTCTCCCATCTATCTCAAGCAGGGGCGATGCAGGTTGCCATGGGCATCTGAACATTGCTGATGTCAAGATATCAGCAGTCGTGCACACATTGTGTCGTTCAGCCTCACGTGGTGCTGCAAAGGCCCGTGTTGCTCACACCTGGCATAGTGATTATTTAAACTTATCGCCTAGTTATATCCGCATTGATATCCTGTGTCAATTGCAAATCTCTGCCGTTCCCCAATTTAGGGCAATGTCGGGCACCAACTGCATGCCTCAAACAAAGCACGACGGCTGCAATCCAGGCTTTTGTCATGTCTTGAAACCGCTATTTGGCATAGATGTGCATTTGCGCCATCACATCATTTACTCAGAGTTGCTGACAGCAGCATGTTGTTGTCAAAGTGCTATGTGCGTTGCCAAACTTGTCAACATGTGGCCAGGTTAGATGTGAATGATGCCGCAGGAAATATGTAGTCAGTGCGACATTGGTTTCATGTGTAATGTGTTTGGCTGTGTACCGACCTGCAGTTCCTATGTCCTTCAGGCGCAGGTTGCCCGAAATCCGGTTGAGATCTTCAACAGTGCAAATGCAGAGTCCATCATCTGCATGTTGTTGCACAAAGTGCTGGCAGCCACTGAGAAGGAGGGCAAGCAGCAGGCTGCCCTGCTGCTGCAAGATTGGTTGGTCATCCTGGCTGCAAGCTACGACAAGCTGACGCATCGCCATGGCGAGGGGCAGCTGCATGAGCAGGTAGCGACAGTGTGGCTGGAATTATACGACATACTGATGGCTCTAAGGGGTCGCCACGTTTATGTTGTCGGCCTTTTGCTCACAATTTGTCCTTCCTCCGCATTTATTCATGATCGCGTTGAAATCGGGGACTATCTGCCGTTCACCACGGTTGACGCTCTTTATTCCATAGTGCAAGATGCATTGCAAGCATGCCAAAACTTGTTTGAAATAACACACGCAATATTGGCATGTGAAAAAACCTTTTTTTTCCAGACGGGGGCTGAATATGTCCAATGTACAGATAGCTGGTGTGGATACAAGCCGACGTGCGGCGCGTCGTTTCCTGATTCGCTGTTTGTGTTGACAGTCGATTGAACGCAGCTCAACGCTGGGATGTACCCCAGGATTTGCGCACCATAGCCCAGTCCGGCTTGGGTAACGTCCAGGGGACCAGCCTTGTACTCGCAGGTGTTGAGCTGTCACTGTACCTGCCAAAAAGTGGCAAGGGTGTGGCGCTTCAACCTCAATCAAGACGATACGCGCTGCGGTATTGATTCAGTCCGTGTGCTTAGTGCTGACGCTCCATTTGATCTCTTGCCCAATTTCACGCAAAGAAGCCAAGCAAGCGCTGCTGCTCCTTCCCTGCTTTTCCCAGGGCCAGCCTTTCGTGCCGTTCGAGGACTGCGAGGCCCTGCAAGCTGTGCCCCGACTGGTGTACGGGCTGCTTCGCAGCCCCCTGATGCTGGGCGGCCAAGTGGGCCCTCTGGCGCACCCCGATTTGCCGACCTTCCTCCGGCACCAGTGGACGAGCCTGCCCCCTTCGCACCTCCACCGCGCCATGTACCCTCAGCTATCGTCTTACTCTTCCGCCAGTGCGCAGGTGTGCACAAGTCCACGCTGACAGGGTTTTCTCGAGCATTGCAAGTCACTGCGTTTGCGGATGCTAGGCGATACTGGGTGCGCAAGTCACGGCTGGCTTGTACATTTACATGACCAGCGATGTCATCTATTGGTGAGCAGAATTAGGTAGGATGCTTTCCTCGCTTCAATTCATATGAACTCGGGTGGTTGTATCACCATTACTAATGCTGGCGTAACGCTGCATTAATACGCAGACGCATGTGCACTGCAGCTAACACACCATGTGTTCGCAATCCCAGCCCGCCAGGACTGGGCCATTGTTCGCTAAGGTTCGGTCGGGATGAAGCAGTCGATTGTAAAGCCAATGGGCCAAACCCCCGCCTGACATCATGTCAATCAGGAAGTCCGATTTCTCTCTGAGGATAATGGCGGCCACTGTGCCACGCTGCCGCCAAGGTAATTCGAAGTTGGCGTGTTGCCATGTGAAGGCAGGCACAGCGCAAGCAATGCACTAATTGCGTGCTCGAGCTCCGGCGTGTCCTGATCTCAAGCGAATCCAATTCGTCGAGAACCGTTGCCTGTGCTGACACAGCGCACATCCTAAACCCCACAACCTGAGGATTTGCACCAATGCACTCAGCGTAACACATTCGATGCTGCGCAGACCCTCCCCAGCCACTCGCTGAGTGTCGCCGCCGTCGCCGGCACAGAAGCGCCCATCTTCCTCTTGGATGCGCTCACGACGGTGCTCGTCTACTACAAGCGCTCCTGCCCGCCCGACCTGCCATTCCCACCCCCTCCCAACAGCCTCCTGAGGACCACAGTGAACGAGCTGCGGCAGAACCGGCGCATGGCGCCAAAGTACAAGGCCGTCCGCCAGGGCGAGGACGACGCGCAGCTGTTCGAGGGCCGCCTGATCGACGAACCGCTGGAAGCGGGTAAGAAACTTGAGGGCGAGGCAGCTGCGGCTTTCACGGGATATTTCCATTTCTTGGAGTGGCTGAGAGGGGCGGCTGCTACGCTGGGCAGTCAGGAAGCTGATTAGGTGGGACTGGGTTTCGTGGGGACTGGCTGGAGTCCAACGTGCGCACAATCGCGGACAAGACGGTGATCAGGTCGCATTGTTCTTCTTCGCCATCAACGTGCATCCTTGAATTGCTTTTGTCATGTTCTGTGACAAATGCAGTTCAAGGATTTGAGCCTTCAACGTGCAGTGGCGACGTTTGGTGGTATGTGCCATCCAAGAGGAGATTCAGAGGGCCCGCTTTGTCTGTCGGTGGCCCGTAGCTATTGGATGATTGCCAGCAGTGCCGAGCGCGGCTCTGGCAGATGCGTGTAGCTGCTATCGTTGGTCAGATTGTGCGGACTGACGGCACCGGCAATTGTCATGGCTCCACCCCATAGAGAGCCAAGACGTGAAAATTCGTTTCTTCAACAGGGCGAGTGTTGTCCATGCACGCGTATGATGACAACGTTTGTTCTAGGGTGAGTGCCCGATCCCAGAGCGCTTCGAAGCCCAATTCTGGGGAAAGACAGCCATGCAGCTCCAGAATCGCCTAGCGTCGGGCAGACGATAGCTTAAGTCAGATCACAGACCACATCCCTACACGACCACATCAGAGAGCCCTCTGCGCGAGCTCTCGAAAATAGCGAGCATAGGAACTGGCGCCAGCCATTCCGACTACAAGCCGAACATCCGCCTGCACGAGGCCAGGACGCCTTCGACATGCGACACAAAATCAGGATCCCTTTGCCGCAGATCGCGGAGATCGGTCTGGTCATGGGCGTCGGCCTCGTCGAACTCCAGCAGCACCAGGTTGTCGGCGGTGGCAGGTCGTTTGGAGTCCCATCGCGTCAGGACGAGGTGGCTGGTGTTCCGGTTGAGGCCCTTGTCTTTGCCGCAGCCCGGTCGCCCCAAATGTGCAGCGCTCACCCCTCGCCATACGTCCCGCACCAAAACGGCCACCTGCGCACCGAGAGGAGTGTGTTGCTGATGTGCAAACGCTCAACGCCGTCTTTGCGCACGATCAGAAGCACAGTGCATTGTCACCGTGCTGAAGATTGTCCTCCATCCATCATTTCCGGATATGAAGATAATGAAGGAGTCATGAGGGTCACAAAGGCCTCCGCAAGACTAATATCCCGAAAGGCTACGAGCGAAGTGACCTTTATGTCCGGAAAAATCGAACATCTGAGGGCCTGCCAAGCCGCAGGCGCACACTGGTACAGAAAGCGCTCCAAATTCGCTGCCCCGTGAAGTGAACAAGGTCCATGGGATCTCAGTTGGGACTGAGGATGTGCCTGTTGGAAATCGAGATGAGGCGCCGAGGATGTGGTTGCGCAACTCACGTCGTTTACGTCCACCTGCATCTCCGACTGCGTCACACCCCTCGCCTCCTCCCTCTCCTCCAATCTTGCCAACTGCGTGTCGTACTGAGCCATCTGCATCTGAAACACAGGCTCGCCCTGGAACGGCCTTCCGGCCAGGGAGCAGATGACGTAGCTCGCTGAAGCCATCCCGAAGAGCGCGGGGGATGTCCCCAGTACCGGAATGGTGCGCACTCTAAAGCCGGGGACAATCTGCGTCACAAAGACAGAGCTGGCAGTTGGAGGCCGACATCCATGTACGCTTCAAAGCTATCAACACACGTGCCAGCCGCCCATCTACTTGTAAAAGTGGGCATCCGCCATTTTGAGATGTTGTTCAAGATGGCAAGATGCCTTGCACTTGCTTTCATAGAAAACAGTGCCCTTACACACTGAAGGTTATGACAGCAGGGTGATGGGCAATGCATCGGCACACTGTCTGCCGATGCCTGTGGCCCACAGTGGGCACCCTGCTGAACGTCTGAAGAGTCTTGTAGAGATTCTGGCGCGAGTGGCCCCGACACTAAGCAATGCCGACTGATTCGCTGCAGCCTATCGGGAACTACAGTGGCGCAAGCGTCAGCTGGTCACCCATGGTATGCCTCGACAGAGAAGGAGGAAGGGTTTCTTTACTTGCTGTGAATCACATCACCCAAAGATGCTGGACGAAAGGCGCCCGTCAGGGGTCACAGACCCCTCAAATTTGAATAGTCGCACCAACATTGGGGTCCAACGCTGGGTAGGGTCACACACCAAAGCCTTAAGCTGCATGCAGCAGCGATGCCTGCAGGCCACTGCGCATGGATGTTGCGATCCGTTATAATATGCGCTGCTGCACAACTGGTGCGGGGAATGTCCATGTGCGATGTACCAAGCGAACTTCTGAGCCAAGCTCGTTGTGCTCCCACCTGGTAGTCCAACGGGTTGCCAGATTCGATGGCACCAAGAGACACAAGTGCGCACTGCGGTTTTTCGGTGGAGAGTAGAACAGGAACACCGCGCTCAATTCCGTGGTTCTTTTTTAACCTGCCATGGCACCAAAGGGGGAGAGCTCAATTTCTGAAGTAAAGCCCGTGGCAATCACCAGCCCAAGAAACAGGACATCACCATGGACCAGGTCCCAGTGGACAGTCGACCAAGCTGCGAAAACCACAACAGGCAGCATTGGGAGAAAATATGACAGATCGCTGCCATTGCATCCACTAGGCAAGGTCCGTCCATCCCTGAAGCTGCTGCTCAAGGGTCGTTGGTGACAATATGCACATGCAAATTGGCCCCTACATCACAAGAAAGAGAAGATAAAAGTGCCGAAGCCCTGCAGCAAGTAGTGGCAACCACATACTGTACCATTGCAAGCTGTTCCGCATTCAATGTGCACTCTATTTCCAGGATCGATGTAGAATGCCTCAGCACAAAGCTTCCAGCAGGCACAATATTCACAGTCACAATGCTGAACCCATGACACCTGTGTCTTACGGCTCGGGCCAAGGGGTCCACACTCGACTCGCTGATGTCGGCAAAGCGCAGCCGCGTGGGATCGGCTTTGGCACCAGCTCCACCCACGCACAAGACCTTCAAGCCTCGGGACACGCAGGCCGCCAGGAGCGACACCTCGCAATGTAGGCACACTGGCAGAGCGTCAGCCAGTATGCAGGCAGGCTGCGATCTCCTTGTTGACAATGTAAGCTCGCCATGTGGAGCAGCAGCGAACATCAGCAGACAGTGCACGAAGGTGTTATACATCACCCTGCTGTCGTAACTTCAAGGTGCAAGGGCATCATATGTATGAAGCCGAATGCAAGGAATCGCGCCATCTTGCACAACTGGAAAAATTGGCAGATGCTAGGACCACGGTTCAAATCCCCAACTGGTTTCTCGACAGCGCTGGATATAACTATGGTCCTTCAATGTGCCAAAGCTGGCAAGCTGTCATTTGCGACTATCTCAGAAACATCGCTCAAGGAAGCGCATGAAAGGCAGTGCTGCAGGTGTGCAACAGTAGTTTGTGACCACCTCACAAACATCGTTCAAGGAAGCACGTGAAAGGCAGTGCCCACAACAGCATTAGGCCATGCACCGCATTGTGGATTGTCACCTTTGTGTCTATATTGTCGATCGCGTCGATCACAAAGTCTGGATTTCCTGTCAAAATGGACCCTTCGCTCTCGTCTGTGTACATAACCACCTGTGCCTCAACTTTTGCCTGCAAACAAGCACTTGCCTAATCAGCCACAGCGCGCATTCAAGTGCTAATGATTAGATCATCACATCAAAGCACATTTAAGCGGCAGCTACACAGTGAAATGTGATGCAATGTTTAGACAATAGAAAAGCGAGCAGTGTACACATTGCTCCATGCGAATGCAGCTACTCAGGAATCCAGTGTAACCTCCTATGCTACCCCACGGTGCCATTGACGAACCCTGCGAATACTGTATTTTCAAGAGGAACGACAACACATCATCCACTGTGCACACCCCATTTCCGACCATCTCCTGCGACGATCTTGTCCACGTTGAATACAGCAAAGCACAAGTCTCCAATGGCAACAGGAAAGCTAGTACCAATAGAGCGATATGTATGGCAACACAACATGCTGTCTGGGTACCCTATATGATCTGCCTGTGTGAAGGTTACACTGGACAGCTTCTTGATAGTTCAATACAATCAGTCCACCATAGGCATTCATGACAGTTTATTGCTCACATGAATGTCAGCACCTCAATGAGTTCTAAGTGGGATCAAGGTCGCACAGCCTCTGGCCTAGCCGTGCCATTAAACTTGTGGAGCTACAGTCCCATCTGCCATTGGTACCTTGGTGCAACTGCTTTGGGTAGCAAGCCATGCCCAGAGTCCCCAAACTTTCACAACACCAATTTCCAACAAAGGCTCCAGAACAGAGTGCTTTGATTGGACAATGCCTGTCATCACATAACAATGCAAGGACAGTATCATGTGCTGCAAAATACTGCCACATTCACCTCAGGCAAAATTTGCTCAAAGTGTTTCTTGAGGCACGTAGCCTTGGGGGTCCCAACATCTTCCCTGGTAGCCACAGCATGTCGATTGAGGGTGGACAGTGAGACAAGGTCAAAGTCAACCAGCCTCAGGTGGCCAACCCCAGAGCGGAGCAAAAGATGTGCAGCATGGCTCCCCACTCCCTGTGGAGCAGCACCAACAACAATGTGAAGAGCTGCAAGCCTCTAAATTCAAGTCCTGGTCAGGTTTGGCTATCAACAAAAGTTCCCTGAGGCTGCATACGATCGTTGGCACTGCTGAGTGAATTCGATGGAGACTCAATAAGCTATTGAGGGCGAATGCATTCAGTCGGATACCTCTTGCTTGCAACCATGCCAGAATAGCCAGATGGATGGAGTGGTAGAAACGCCGGTTACAACCTGAGGCCAAAACTGGCTAGTTCATTGTCACCAGTCGCACATTCCTGACTCCTTGCCAAATGCTCCTCAGCAGGGCATAAAGATCGAGCACACGGCCAGCGCCATGGTTTTACAGCACTGCTTCTCTTTGTTGTCAGTTGAGGATCAACGACATGTTAAATTGAAACTCAAGAACATGCTTAATGGCCCACATAATGCTGTCATTCGTCTGTACACATATATGTCATCTGACAACATCTATTCTCACAATATCCTCTGGACATCTATTCCAGTGAAAAGATAAATCCGCACAACATTCCAATCCATTGTTCCTGCTGATCCACGCCTGAACTCAAGGACTCGTTCACGCTGCTACTGCATTGATTTTGATAATGACCGTGCCATCAGCCCCTAACTTTGGGCTCAATGGGGGAACTTCCAATCCACCAGGTGGAGGTTCAACCAAGCCCATAATGTAAGCTGCTATGGGATCCAACTGAATCGAATGCCAGATATCTGCAATAAATCCCCCAAAATACCACCTCAATTAATCTCTAACCCAAATTCAGTAAGGCTAGACTAGGTTGAGCCTCCCTACAGGTGATTAGGCTTCATTTTGGACCCAATTTCACTCAATTTGAACTGGTTCAAACTTCATACCCAAGTGTGGATGTGGATCATTTGTGCTCCAATATGAGCAAATGGCGGAGTTTGTCCATTTTGACCAATTCAATCACTTGTGCATAGCACATCTGTTGAACTAATAATGTGCGATAGCCACCATCTGATGGTACAAATTTTGATTCTTTGGTATCACACTTCAAAGCTAGAAGGGCTGATTCTGCATTTGTTGGCAAACAGCATTCATATTTCCACAAGTTCTGGTAGTTGTGCAGGGCATCGTCTCAAATCTTGCACCACCCCTAATTCCAGCCCACTCACACGTGGGCACGCAGTGGTAGCAGAGAATACGGTATTACACATGACAGGGACAGCGCACTCCAACAACATGCCACAAGGGGTTTCCTGGAAGGGCACAGCCGCCATTCAGGGTGTTCCGCCCGTCATGCCCTCGGCAGGGCACACATGCACCCTCCGTCCGCTCTTTCCTGTGGTTCAAGTGTACAGGCCTGGGGCCATCCAAGCGCTGAAGTATGAGGGTGCGGACACATCTGGAGAGCTTTCAGCACGCAGCGTAGTCGCGACGTTTTGCAGGGCTGTTCGACTGCCCACGCCCCCCGATCAACATCAGCGCCGCACCCCCAGGCCGACGACCACCACAAAAGACGCCGCCACCCGCCGCTGCGCGTCCTCCCCGAAGAACTGGCAGTTCCGCGTCAGCTGCTCCGACAGGATCTCATCGTCCACAAAGTCGCCGTCCAGTCGATGCCCATCCCCGTCGCGGCTGCCGTGGCTTCCCGCAGCGCAGATTGGCGACGCCCAGGGATACATGCCGCCAATCCAGGCTGCCGGGCCCCGGAGGGGTCTACGGATCAGCGCGGCGGCGAGTCCCGCCCCAAGGGCGGCGCCCAGGGCGAAGACGGCCCAGCTTCTACCGTCGAGCGTGGCGGCGAACGGCATAGAGGCACACTGTATGCGCGGGGGCTGTTGTGGATGCGGATTGGCGCAAAGAAATGCCCCCCTAGGCCGCATTAGAATCGCGTCCCCAATCCAATAGTGCCCGATGCTCACCAGCCTGTCCCACTGCAGCTCGAGCGGGATGCAAACGTTGCACATGCACCAACAGGCTGCCAACCGCAATGCTAAGCAAGAGGTTATTTATGGCAACGTTGATTGGATGAATACCAGGCCAGCGACGCTACGTTAGGGTATCTACTTATACAGTGCGGTAGTCCTTGCGCGTGTGGGAATGAAATTGCAGCTCACAGGTGGACAGTGGTGTACCCCCCAATCTAGGTAACTATTCCGGCTTCTCTGAAGAGCAAGTGGCAGTGGAAACCACGATTTCATGGGCATTGCTGAGGGTCAAAACTGTTAATGAAATGTATGCTAACTGTGTGGGCATGATATTGGAATCTGTAGTGAAAGCGGTGCTGCGAACTGCAGATGCTGAAACGGCGATACAGCACGTGCAATTGCGTCCGATGTCCAAGTACAGAGCGTTTTGGCACAGGTTATGAGGTAGTCCACTTGCTGACAATACGAATGCCTTTAACTGGGGTGGGGAAGGTTTTGTCGACTAGTATGCAGCGGAATACTAATAGGCTCCTGTCAACTCAATCACATTATCAAATAATGGCTGAACGCGGGAAGAAAAGCAATTGCAGCTGTAAACACATATCAGCCAAAGCACCCTTGCACGCGGATGCGCCTCGCAATATTCAGCCCTTGCTCGAGGACTCGGTTCATGGAGCAGCTCCCTCCCCTTTGGTCGAGTCCCTTACGAACGCACAACGTTCAATGAATATTTTTACAATCCACACACAGCACACGATATGAAAAATCTTTGGGCACAGATGCCCACGCTCGTGTTCGACTGACACACCACCTGGCGCCAACGCTCATCCCCAAAACCAAAAATACAAATATAATAACGCAATATGTGACCGATTCAATGATGTTGATTTCCAATGTCCAATCAATCCAATCCAAAACCTGTTGCAAATTCTCGTCCCTGTATGCCACCCGTGTCCAGTGGCAAAACAATCGGCCCACAATCCGGTGAGCCCCGCGAGTTTCCTCCCAAAATGAATCTTTCCTGCGCTATCAAAGACAATTGATAGAATGCGCGGAGACCTGAAAATCGCTCCCACAAATACATCGATGAATGTGCCTAACCCTGAAAATGGTCGCCAGCTGAAAACGCACTCCACGCCACGCTCTCTCTTTCAAGCTCGGCGGCGATCGTCGTCGTCATCATCTTTATCCCGGGGGCCAGTGTACTTGAAGCGCTGATCTGGCGTGGGTACCACTTGTCGTCGGTATGACATCCCTGTTCATAACGACAGTTGCACCGCGTATTGTCAGCACGATTGACGCTGCCGCTTACCTCAGCACCACCACGGGTCCCCAAGTGCCCCCTGACGCACGTGACCGCTGATGATTGCAACCGAATGCCCAAGCATGTTGGACAATTGCCATGATGTGATCGCCACTGATCGATTGCACAACGGGTCGTAATGGTGCCCTCATGCTGCACGATACAACGGGCGCCGCGTGCACCCTCAACAACTTGGTGGTTCCAACTTACTGTCGGTTATCAGGGTCTTCCTTGAGCCAATGCGCTGCCTGACCTCCGCAACGAGGGCCTGCGGATCTGCATGCATACACAGAGATGAATCATTGCCATCAGTTGGGGCAAGGCCTGCACGCGGCGCGACGCAAGCTTGCGCAGCAACACCAGAACGGCGACGCGCCTCTCCGAGCTTGCTGGGGTGCTGACTACAGACACCCCAGACCAAACTGTCCGTCGGCGGCGGGCCGAGCGCGGGCTTCAGTTACCGGCGTTTGGACGCCCAACGCTCGCTCGCGCGGTGCGGCTGACCGCAATCGAGCAAGACATCCTGTGCACGAGGGCACCATCGATATCCGGCATCGTTCCGCGCATAGGTCCATCCGTCTTCATGCGATCGATTGCGAACCAGCGTGACCGGTACCCCGCGGCAATTTCGGAGCGTCCGCAATTTCCGCCCGCCACTGGCGAGCCCAGGCAGCCGCATCGACAACCGCATCGACTGCGCCCACTGAGCAGCGCACCCCCGGATCAAGGTCCCAATGGCATGGAAGCGCGCCTGCGAAATTAAAGGAGGCCGGCCGGGGCGCCGCCCTGGACAGGCAATGACATGTTTCCACCTGCCAGCGGTTCGCATCGACGGTCGCAGCGACGGCGCTAACTGAGCAGCGCACCCCTGGACCAAATTCTCAATCGCATGGAACCGCGCTTGCGGAAATTCAGGATGCCCGCCGACGGGCCCCGGTCAAACGCAGCCGCGATCACAATCCATGTCGGAAAACACACATGACACTTCCGGCACCGCGTGGAACGGTGGAATTTGGGCCGCAACGACCCGTTCCGTCCATCGACACAGCGCCCGCCACAGCTGAACGCGCCTGACTGCGAACAAACAGGCCGAACGTCTGGCGCGCCCGCCATCCCTGCGCACCTGGCCGGGCGGAGGCTTCGGATGGCAGCTGGACGATCAGAAGCAGGGCCACGAGGGAGACGGCCACCGCGCGGCCAAGCATGCTGGGCGCCATGAGGATTGCAATGGATCGGAGCTGCGGTTGAGGGCAGCCGATCAGGAGCTGTCGCGCGCGGTGAGCGAATCCGTCAGAGGCAATCGAATCCGCGCGTGTGCGGGAGCGAGCGCGCGAATGGCCGAGCGTGTGGCGAGCTGGGCTTTATAACCCCCCCCGCTTACGCAGTACAACTTCGGTTGTAAGGTTGGATAACCTGCTCCGTCGGTCCTACAACGCGCCACAATCGACCAGCGTGGCAGCGGCGGTGAGGGCTGCCATCGCGCCGCCATTGTGTGGCGGGCGGCAGATCGTGCATAACGACAACGTGGATGTGATGGATGTGATTGAAGTTCTCGCTGGTGGATATGAAGCACTGCAGTGGCCTTTTTGCGCCATCTCGCCACAAGCCTGTGTATAAAGGCCCGGATATGGGGCTGTGAGCGGATTCGCTGAAAGGTGTACGTGGAACAGTTGGTGCGTACGCCCGGCTTACTATGTAATACACCAATTGATGCGCCAACCAACAGGTGTACTACACGGGGTCTGCAAAGTGCGCAGCGCACGTAAGCCACCCTGCTCCGTCGATCCTACGACACGCCACAAGCAACCAGCGTGGCAGCCGTGGTGAAGGCGGCCTTCGTGGCGCCACTGTGTGGCCGGCAGCAGATCACACATAGCGACAACGTGGATGTGGTGGAAATTCTCGCCGGTGGATATGAGGCACTGCAATGCCCTTTTCTGAGCCTTCTCGCCACAAGCCTGTGCATAAAGGGGCACATAGGGCTGTAAGGGGATTTCGCCGAAAGATGTAAGCGGAAAAGTTGGTGCGCGTGCCCAGCATATTATGCAGTACACCAGTTGATGCACCAACCAACTGCGCGGTGTACTGCAAAGTGCTCAGCGCACAAGTAAGCCATACCACCCAGTCTGTGCACTTTGAGCCCAAGATCATACTACTGCACCAAGCGACCTGCTTGAATCATGCAGCAAATCGACTGCCGCATGCCGGCCGCGCAGCTGGCGCACAGGCGCCACAAACCACTAGGAAAAAAAGGGCCAAATAATGATTTTGCGAACACACATGAAACACATTTCGTCAACGTTGTGCACGCTAAGAGCACAAAAATAACACGAACCCGTAAACTTTGTACACGTTTGAACACGTCTTATTTGGCCCTTTTTTTCCTAGTGAACGTAGCCTCTATTTGGATACAATGCGTGTTGGGTGTTCGGGCGTGGCCTCGGCGCCTGCCGTCAAAATTTTGACATTTAAGTGGCCATGTTTACATTAAAGTATTAAAATAAACGTTTTAAAGTAAATAGATTTAAATCTGAGTTTCGCCATCATGGAATAAGGGAAGGCACTGTTTTGATTCTGGTGCGCTGAGCGTCAAATTGACGTTAAACTCAGACCCGCCCGTAAATCCTTATGTTGACGCCTCCTGCAATACTTAATGATTGTATTTTGCAAAACGCACAAAAAAATATATGGTGAAAATTTTATGGCGGCAACAATGGTGCTTTATCTACAGCGCCACAAAGGATGGCGCAACGCGGCATAGAGGGTCATGAGAGCGCGGCTCTCTAGCGGCCTTTGCAGGCGTCACCAGTAGACCAGGCAGTTTTTCGGACGCGTCGCGGACACTGCAATGAGTGTCCGCGACGGTGACCCAAGTGTCCCGGACGCTGACTCCATGTTGGACACTATCGCCGTCACTGTCGGCGACACTCCCCAAGCAAAAGGGAATGCCGCGGATACAGAGACCGTCGCGGTCACTGCCGCAGGCACTGACGCGGCCACAAAAGTCACCGTCGCGGTCACCGTCGCGGACACAACCATCATCCCAAATACAGTCAGCATCTTGGCCACTGTCGCGGATATTGACGCGGTCACACAGCCAGCGTCGTGGACACCATAGCCGCTGCCCGGACGGCCTCAGGCACATCATCTATTTGTTAGACGCGTATACCAGTCACGAATTTGAATCGCAGACCTCATCCATATTGGGATCTCCACAGCCGCCAAAATCACCCCACGGCCCGGGGCCTTCTCCGTCAAGCAAGGAAAAAGCAACGCCGGCAGGTGAGGATATGGAGGTGAAGGACGGGCGTCC